GCTATTACTGGACAAAAGTTTGCTCTGTTAGGCGCCATAGATGCTGACGTGTTCTATCAGAACGCAAAAAAAGCATAGCTCTGCGGCCGTCTGAAATGCGGTTAGATCGTGGGGCAGATTTATGAAGAGACATATTTGAATTTCTATCACCCTCCTTCGGCACTCGTCGTTAAGGTTCTAGGATTGTTCCGAGCGGTGGTTGAAGCCCCGTCAAATTGCGGAAAGCAATTTTAGTACTTGAGACCTTGTTACTGATAACTGACTTGCCGACTCGGTGTCTAATTATACCTTAAGGTTAATTACCTATAATTGGACACCAATTTGCGACTGATTTTTCGTCAGACTCGGAAACCTACGCATCTTGTGATCTCTCTTTTTTAAAGATCGTTACATTGCCAAAAATACTGCGGACGCAGTGGCTATGCTTTAAGACGCAGGCTTTCTTCTTCCGAGATTTGTACGGTCTCAATGGAGCAAGGATTTCGCGAAACAATAAATGCTAATGCACACGGTTGCGCCACCAGATGAAACGTTAACTGACTCCTGGTGGAACGCTCAGGAGGCTCACAACGCAGTCGTTTTGGCACACAGTAATCATTACTACTTTCAAGAGTCGACGAACTCACTAGTTCGAGAGCACAGTCTCAGCTTCCGATCGGAGGCATATGAAAGGCAAGTTCAGATTTTTACAGAAAGGCTGTACTCACCAATAAAAGTAACTTTCTTTGGTTTCGATATTACATCATGGGTGTCCGCAGTCGCGATCATGCTCGGATGTTTTACCCTCTTGGGACTAGGTAATCTTCGCTGGATTCGAGTAAATCAGTTTTGGGAGATGAATAAGCGATTTCGTCTATTAAGAGTTCGGGTATAAGACTTGTCTGTTAGCTACCAGGCCCAACCGCGGTTGGTGAACTGTTATAAGGTCTAATGATAAACCTAATTGACGGCTTGAGAGCAGCCGCAGCCAGATTAGAGTTGGTCATCTTATCACAAACACACTGAGAACGGTTGTTGTGTGTGCACGACGCGTTGAAGGTTAATTGGATATCAGTCCCTTGGGGACCTATAAATATCCTCCTTTTGCCAACAAGTTGTGATTATATAAACTACCTTCCTGGATTTATAGTCAGATGATTGATTTTTGAGGGGACTACAACGGCCTGGCTTTCGCAAAAGACACTGCGATGACATGTCCGCATAACACGAACCCCGAGGCTTTTCTATGTACTTAACGGGGGAAGGCAACACTTTGGCTAAGATCCGAAGTAGAGTTGAGTAAGCTGTCGATGTTCTTCAGTTTGGGAAACATAAAATGCAAACGTACTGTAACGGTAAGCGAAAAACAGAGAAAACGGGAAAAACGGAGAGCGAGGGAGGGAGGGGGGACAACACTCACT